ACCGATCTAATGTTCTTTTGGGAAAGAATTTTGTTGTCCTTAGTTGATCTGATTTTCATGAGAGTCCAGAATCTGAATTGTTACAACACAAAAGGAGGCCATTCAGCTTGTCATCTCTGTTAAGATGAGGCTGTTCAAATGCCAATCTTCTGCTTTCTCCCCACACCCTTGTACACTGTGTTTCTACCCAAATGATCATCCAGTGCCCTTCTTACTGACTCAAGTATTTTCTGAAATAGCTACCAAGCCAAGCAATTGTATTGACTACTAGAAAGACTCCAGAAAGGAATGGACCACCTGGCATTAACTAAGGCAGTTGAAATGATGGTAGCAAACTCAGCCCTGTCCATTTTGGAGTCCTCCTTAATAACATCTGGGGAGTCATACAAAATTGGGAAAGCCTGTATGACAAACTAGTCAAGCAACAGTCTGACATAGTCATACTCATGGAATGATACCTTATCTGTAATGTCCCAGACTGCACCATCACCATCCCTGGTTATGTTCTGTTCACTGCTGGACGGACCCCGCAGATGTAGTAGCACAGTGATTATACAGTCGTGTTGGAGTGATCCTCCAAGTCTTCAACATTGACTCTGAACCCAATGACATCTCATGCTATCGGGTCAAACATGGGCAAGGGAACCTCTTGTTAATTATCACAAATTGCCGTCTCCTATTTTAAGTTAAGGAAAAACCTCATTATGACCTGGGCAAAGGTTAATTAATGGGATGGGGTGGGGTAGCTATTGGGGCACTGGATGATGCTGTGTTGGGCTTTTTATAATGTAAAGATTTCTGTTAGCAAAAGCAGTGCACTTTGTGAGACAGGCTGACTCTGAGCAAAATAGACCTTTTCTTAAAAATATTAAACAGTTTTCCCGGGGTCAGATCACTGACTCTGAGTCTAACCTTTTAATCCAGCATGCTGCCAATGTTTCAGGAAGATAGCAACCATGATGTCAAGAGACTGCCGTTGATTCTTTTCCATGTTGTGACCCTGCCTAGTGACAAATGCTTAGTGTCACACATGATGTAGGAAAGGCCCTGTTCAGTTGGTTTTGTCAAAGCAGAAATAGAAGATTTTTATCTATAGCTCAAAGGTTTAAAAATGGACCACGCCAATCTGCAACTGTACAAGAAGTAGATGCCACAGAAGAACAAGGTATATTCTTCTTTAGGTAAGTAGTAGACCCTCAAGATGAATTCTGGCGTGTAGGTATCACAGTGGAGAAAATGATTTTAAAATTGTATTTGTAGGAAGTATATTGATTCAGATTCAACACCGTGGTTGAAGCTACAATTTCCCCAATATTTTTGCCAAGCTTTGAGGAATCATGTTCTGAACACGAGATCAAAAGCAAGTTCCCCTTTGCTGCAGTGAGAAAGGGAGTATTTAATCCCTGTATGTCATTTCAAATCAACGTTATTTTCTATTATACAGAGCTGCAAATGCAACATTGAATTATCATTTTTCATCAGTTGCAGCAAATGTTGAAGTTAGCTCATTAGCTAAAAATCCACTCTCCATGGATGTAACACCATCCCGAGGATCATAGGAAGATAATGCAACTCTTTCATTCTGTTTGAAGAAAGTCTGGAAGATGTAGGAACAGGATGCACTAAAGATAATGGTGACTAGCCCCAAGATGAAGTCCTGGACTTTAACTTGCTCCTTGGAAGAGTGTGATACAGCTGCAGAGTAAGATGATCTTTTGGATGAGCAGGTCCTGGATCTATCTTCACCCTTTGACCTGTCAATAAAGTTTGTGAATTTTCTGCTTTTTTTTTGGAAGAATCGCACCATTGTTGCAGAAGGTAACACAGGAAAATTTGCTATTCCATTGTGCCCTCTGACATTCAGCAACCATGGCCTCTGTTAGCAGCATTTGAAAATAGTGGCCAAGAGTTTGTGGTAATAATAATCGCAAAATGGTCAGCATTTGCATTAATTATTCTTCAAAACTAGTAGCAGTATTTGGAGTTCATGTACATATGTCCAGAAGTTGCTGTCAGTAATTCTAAGATTCTCCAGAGGACAACTGATAAGGCATCCCAACAGTTGCCAACTGCCCTGAAATGGCTGGAGTAACCCAGAACCAGCTTCAGCCTCCTTGTGACCAGACAAAGCATTTCGGGAAGTTTATTAGCCCCTGGGAAAGACTCGTCTACCAGAGTATTGGAAGCCCGAGATCCTTGAAATGACCAGGTCCAATTGCTTGTGCTTAGGTACTATCTGATTTCTTATTTTAGGGACCAGCCATCAACTAGCCAGAGCCTCAGTTCAGATGCCACCTAACCATACCTGTGCCAAGAACCTACTTGCCAATCCTCGGAAAAGCCTGGCTTGACGAAGGCCACTTGCATAAAATATTCAAAAAAATGTGAATAATGCTCAATTCAGCCAAGATGCTCACTTAGGTAACAGAACTAGAAAAGAAAAGATGATGATTGTGAGCAGAGGTTGGGCTCGGGCTGAGACTGCTGGATGTTGGTATAATGATTAGCTAGTGTTAATAATGCTATAGTTTAGTCTCTGATTGAACCCAGTAGACTCTGATGCGTTGTGGATTTGCATCCCTCGAGGAATGGCAGGGGGAGGAATTGTTCAGACTTAGAATGGAATTTAGTTCATTTCATCTCACTCACTGTCACACTAAATAATTCAGCTCAAATATACTTCATTAGTTGTACTCTCTCTCTCCTAACAACATTCTCTGCATTCACCTGTGCTGCTACATCACCAGGTTTCCATGATGTTATTTTACATATTTCCCAGAATGTTTCTAGCCAGACTTCACATCCTGGGGCATGCCCAAACTACAGTCAATGGAAAATCAATTTAGTTAATGGAAACTCACTCTTCTATTGTTGTTCTTGCTGTAAAAACATTTTAAAAATTTGAGATGTAACTCTGTTTTTAGTGGTCTTTTAACTTCACAACTATTGCTGAACAACCTCATTGGCATCAAGAAATTAATTTCATCTTTTGAGAGATGTCAAATTTCTCTAATAAATTGCATTAAAATTGATATTTAAATCAGAACTTCTTTCAATGTCCAGTTATAGTAATTTAATTCAATATATGAAAATTTAAATTGAAAATGACCAACATTTTGTTTTAACTTCTTGGTTGCCTTAAGAGAAATACTTCAGTATGACTAGCTTTTTGCGTCTGTCCTTGCTGGTGCATCGTAAGGAATCCCCTTTACCTGGTGTCTGATTTAAACTGCTGATAGGAAAGGAGAAAATCATGTCATTTGGATCTCTCAATTTTTGTAGCCAGCTTCTTGGACCATAAGATGCAGGAGCAGAGGTAGGCTGTTCGTCCATTGAGTTTGCTTCACCATTCAAGATCCTGGCTGATTTTCTAATTCTCAACTTGACTTTCCTACCTTTTTCACAAAACCTTTGATTCCCTTGCCAATAAAGAATTTGACTATCTCCGCCTCAAATATAGTTCATAACGCAGCCTCTACAGACCTCTGTGGCAAAGAGTTCCACAAATTCGTAACCCTCAGAGAAGAAATTTCTCCTCGTTCCAGTCTTAAATGGTAGACCCTGTACTCTAAGATTAAGCCCTCTTGTCTTAAACTTTCCCACAGGGAATTACCTTTTAGCATCTACCTTGTCAATCCCCCTAAGAATCAACAAGGTCTCTTCTCATCCTTCTAAATGAGTAGAGGCCCAACTACTCAACCTCTCCTTTATAAGGAAATCTCTCTGATCCTGGGATTAACCTAGTAAACTTTCGACGGCTTGCCTCTGATACTGATATATCTTTCCTTAGATGCAGGACCAAAAGTTGTTCACAGTATTTTTGGGTGGTCCATCTCTACCTTATATAGATTTATTAAAATCTCCCTATTTTTATATTCCCTTGAGAATAATGACCAACATTCCATTTGTTTTCCTCATTACCTGCTGAATTTGTATGCTACCTTTTTATGGTTTGTGGACAAGGATCCCCAAATCCCTCTGCTGCAGCTTTCTGCTGTCTTTTTCTCCATTTAAATAATATTCAGCTCTTCTTCCTGTATAAATAAAAAATCTCTCAATTTACGACATTCCATCTGCTTTGCTTTTGTCCACTCACTTGTACCTTGTTTGTATCTTTTTGCAACTGTTTGTGGCATCTTCACCACTTGCCTTCCTGCCTATTTTTGTGACTTTGAAGTTAGCGTACTGACTACAAAGTCCAGTCCAATGCATCAGGATAACTTTTTTGTTGAAACAACATCCAAACTGGAACTGATTTAGTTGAAACAGGAGATGGGAATCTCAAATTTCCTATAATTGCATTTGAATTATCTTAAAATTGTGATGATGTTTTGGAAGAAAGTAGTAGCAACATTCAAAGAAAATTTGTTTTTTGTTGAACTGGAGGTTCATTTTTGTGAAAACCAGTTTTTAGTTAGTACAAATCATGCATGTAATTACTACTGAACATAAATGCAGTTAAAATTTTATGTTCCAATAGCAGGTACATACAGTTCT